CGAGGTGCTGCCATGTTCACTTTGGACCTGAACATGAAAGATAAGTTAAATTCACAGGTACCGTATTTGCCGGCGTACAAGATGACTTTTTGGGCCCAAAAAACATGCCTCCAAGTGGGGGGGGATGTCTTGTACGCTGGGTGCACTGAATAACGCGCGGCCACGCTGGCCGGGGAGGAAGGCAGGCAGGCAGGCAGGCAGGCAGTCGGTCTGGATGGATGGAGGGAAGCACAGCCTGCCATGCCTAAGCTGCCTGCCACCCCATGCCGCTGAGTCAGCCACCGCTGAGACAGCTCTGCCCAGGTCCCGGAGCTACACCCCACAGCAGTGCTGGACCTCCCGGCTTCCTCTGAACCCCCCCGTCTCCCGGGAAAGCGACTGCCAGGAGAGCAGCCCGGTGGCCCGCCAAGGGTTCGTGCAGCGCGGCCTGATCCAGCGGCTGAGAGGTCAGGAGGAGAAGGCCGGGAGGGACTTCGAACAAGTGGCCCGCCTCGGCAGCCCCTTCGCCCACCAGCAGGTGGTCCGGATGAGCCCTTACTCCACCCTCTGCAACCTGATGCTGGTGGAGGTGATGAAGCAGATGCGTGGCTGCCCGATCCTCCGAGAGACGCTCCCTCCAGGGGGGTAGAGGGCCCCAGCTGAGAGTCCCGGGGCTCACCCGCCGGAGGAGCGCACGCACATGCGGGGAGGTGAATAAAAGAGAGGCCCCTGCAAAAAGGTGGTCCGGCTTGGGCTCGCTCCCCCGCCACCCACCCGTTTCCCTTTTCCTCTTCCTCCTCCTCCTCCTGCCGCTGCCCGCTCACCCTCTTCCGCTCTTCCTTGCCCTCTTGCTGCCATGTCGCGCACCCGTCCTCGCTCCCCGTAAGAATATGTGGCTATTAGCAGAGTGTAGCAGGCTAACAAAGTGAGCTTATGTTTATGAATTACAAGTAGCCATTCAGGATGTTTCATAGTGAGCAAAATTAAAAACTTATGCTTCTCGTCTCATTAAATCCATTCAGGATAAAACAAGATAAATTCTTGACTTTGAGTACTGAAGCCCCTAGAACCGGCTTCTATATATGTACCTACATGTATAGGTTGTGCTGACCACAACCACAGAAGCATCTTAGAATCAATCCTTCTATGCAAACAGAGAAGAACAACAAAATTATTGCCTTGAAAAAGGTGGAATTAGGTGGAGAAAGTGACTAAGGATAACAATTTACAAGCAGTCACTTACAGAAAACTATGAGAGGCCAAGGTGATCAGTGCCACTTGGCTATCTAACACACCTCATTTGTTACTTTACATACAACGTTGTTGTATCTATTATTCCAATAGGAATGCCTGCCTCTATGAAGGATCAAACTATTAAGAGTAGAATGGCTTAAGGGTGAGCAATAGCGTTCAGAGTCCTAGTGGTCACACCGTCTCCATTCCTATCTCCATTCAAAATGCCAAAACGAACTGCTGGATAGCTCAGTAGTTTACGTATCTGGCTACAGAACCAGGGGTTGGGTATTTGATTCCTCACTGGGCCTCTTTGACAAGGGCTGGACTCAATGATCCATAGGGTCCTCTCCAGATGATGATGATGATGATGATGATGATGATGATGATTCACCTTTGAAAATCTCAGTATTCACATTTATGTTAAAGGAAAAACGTTTCAGCTTCCTTTATTTTTTTTTATATTATTATTTTATTTTCCACTACTTCATTTGTCACTTTTCTTCCAGTGAGGAGTCCTAAGGTGGCTCACAATTATTATTTTTTTTAAAAAGCACACCACCAAGTAAAAACACAGTAACTTACAAAGTTAAAAAATGAAAATCTCAGTATTCACATTTATGTTAAAGGAAAAACGTTTCAGCTTCCTTTATTTTTTTTTATATTATTATTTTATTTTCCACTACTTCATTTGTCACTTTTCTTCCAGTGAGGAGTCCTAAGGTGGCTCACAATTATTATTTTTTTTAAAAAGCACACCACCAAGTAAAAACACAGTAACTTACAAAGTTAAAAAATACACATATAATAGTAATTGAAGCAGCTATCTAAACATCTAAACTCTTTAAAAACATAGTTGAAAGAAAAGGCTCAGTCTAGCCCACTTTAGTTATTTGTTATTAAAAGCTTGCCTTAAAAAGCAGGTCTTTAACTACAACTGAAAAGGCAAGAGGGAGGGGGCCAACTTGTCCCCATCAAACATTTCCATTACGGCAATGAGACAGAGAAAAGGGCCTCTTTTGAAGATCTTATTCTCCCTTGCTCAGACATTTTGGATGAGAATTGGCCCAGCTCCTGATCTTTGGCTATTCCAAGTGAGGCTGATGAGAGTTGAAGCCAAAACATCTGGAGGACACCAGATCAAAGCTCAATTCACACGATGAAACAGATTTTCTATTTCCAAGTGCAGATTACTCTATAGATACTACTCTGTATGTTCCTGTCAAAAAGCCCTTCTATACACAAGAAATCCTCCTCCCTACTCATGCACTGAAAGCTGCATGAACACTGCCTCTAAGTGGACAGTCCTGACAATCTCTTTGGGAAATAGAAGAACTAATGACAGATAATGATCACCAACCATCTTTCTGGTCAGGAGATCTCCACAAACAGCCTCTGACTACAGTATTAGCAAGATTATTTGGTCTCAGAGGCTTGCAGCTGCTGCTCTGGTAAACTGTGTTGCCAAGGGGAATTTTGTCTTTTAATGAGTAGTAGTAAAAGCTGAACTCGTCTGTTCATGCAAGCCTTTTCTGTATACGTACAGATCGTGTAACCTTCTAAAATGACCCTGGATTTTGCTACTTTATTTCAAGCCCCCAGCACCTGGATTCAGCGAATGAGGACCCAGTAAAGACTTTCAAATCCAACTAGGCCTGAGGCTCAAGAACTGGCTGACCAGACACCTCTGAATTTCAGGCTTTCATTCCCACAGCCACTGTGGCACCTCTGAGGCCTGACAGGTTAGCGAGGAGATTCCGCCTCATAATAACTTTTGAGATATAACTAGAGGTGCTTGGCTTTAACAATTATGTAAATGTACTAAATAGCCAACTAAACAGCTTCTTATACCCTGCATTTACTTATAGCCCATGTTTTATGGGAAACTGGCATTTCTTGCAAAGCATGAAGATACATATATATCTCAGTAACAAAGGAGGTATCATAAAACAACCCAGGCATCTTCATCACTTGCACAAGCTAGATGCGAAGGATATGTTACCAAAATCCTTTAAGGAAGGAACTTCAAAGAAAGAAAGCTTGAAAGGAATACCAATTTTAATTATTTATTTATGATGCTTGTGCAATGCTATCCCAAGCATTCCTCTTCTCAGGCTTCTTTACTGCACGTTGCTGTGTATGCATTGATTTCCCTGCTGGCATTAATAAACACTTTCCAGATACTTCACAACTTAAAATCCCTCTTGGCAGATTTCTAAGAGAAAAATCTTCACATTAGTTCCCTTCCAAGAGAACTCTAGCACCAACAGTGTGCCTGGAAGAAGCTCTTGGCAAAACAACGGAGTGTCATATTATTAGATAGGGAGCTGTTGTTGTGAGGCTTTCCACTTGACTGGAAGTTGGTGAAGCCTGGAGGCAACAACCAAGAGCCAGTAGTTTAGGAGGGTTTAGTGTCAATCCAGCCATTGTTGGAGCTACATGTTCCTTGTGACGTGTCCAACGTTGCACCTTTGGACTGTCCACCAAACACCATTTGCCTTCCAGACTTTCCAGACCTTACACTGAAGTCCTTCCCTCCTAGAAAA